CGCCGCCCCCAGCGCCCGGCACCGCCTGCGCCCGGGTGTCCCGGGACGGGCCGAGCTTCCCAGCACTGGGGAGTGTGCCCAAGGAGGGGACGTGTGCGCCGGGATGAGACACGTGTGCCGGGATGGGACGAGTGTCCCGGGATGGGACGAGTGTCCCGGGATGCGACCAAGGTGTGGCCAAAAATGGGGCGAGCGCGCCGGGATGCGACAGGCGTGTGCCCCGAAATGGGACATGTGTGTGCAGGGATGCGACAGATGTGTGCCCCGAAATGGGACACGTGTGTGGGGATGCGACACGTGTGCCCCAAAATGGGATGTGTCTGTGGGGATGCGACAGACGTGTGCCCCGAAATGGGACGTGTGTGTGGGGATGCGACACGTGTGCCCCAAAATGGGATGTGTCTGTGGGGATGCGACAGACGTGTGCCCCGAAATGGGACGTGTGTGTGGGGATGCGACACGTGTGCCCCAAAATGGGATGTGTCTGTGGGGATGCGACAGACGTGTGCCCCGAAATGGGACACATGTGTGGGGATGCGACACGTGTGCTCCAAAATGGGACGTGTGTGTGGGGATGCGACAGACGTGTGCCCCAAAATGGGACGTGTGTGTGGGGATGCGACAGACGTGTGCCCCAAAATGGGACACATGTGTGGGGATGCGACACGTGTGTCCTAAAATGGGACGTGTGTGTGTGGGGATGCGACAGACGTGTGCCCCGAAATGGGACACATGTGTGGGGATGCGACACGTGTGCTCCAAAATGGGACGTGTGTGTGGGGATGCGACAGACGTGTGCCCCGAAATGGGACGTGTGTGTGGGGATGCGACAGACGTGTGCCCCAAAATGGGACGCGTGTGTGGGGATGCGACAGACGTGTGTCCTAAAATGGGACATGTGTGTGGGGATGTGACACGTGTGTCCTAAAATGGGACGTGTCTGTGGGGATGCGACAGGCATGTGCCCCAAAATGGGACGTGTGTGCCGGGATGCGACAGACATGTGCCCCAAAATGGGACGTGTGTGCTGGGATGCGACAGACATGTGCCCCAAAATGGGATGTGTATGTGGGGATGCGACAGATGTGTACCCCAAAATGGGACGTGTGTGTGGGGATGCAACTGATATGTGTCCCAAATTGGGACATGTGTGCAGGGATGCAACTGATGTGTGTCCTAAAATGGGACACATGTACGGGGATGTGACCAACATGTGTCCCAAAATGGGATATGTGTGCAGGGATACGACCGACGTGTGTCCCAAAATGGGACACATATACAGGGGTGCAACCAACGTGCACCCCAAAATGGGACATGAGTGCGAGGATGCGACCGACGTGTGTCCCAGAACAGGCCCTGCCATGCAGACGGGGACAGCGGTGCCAGGGCCCTGAGGGTGCTGCCAGCCCCAGACGGCCCTGACCAGCCGCACCTGGACCCACCCACCCCCACCTGTGGGGCTGGGGCTCTATTTAAGCTCAGCCCTGAGCCCACCCTCCCTTCCCTGCTGTGCTGGGGGGATGCTGGCTCCAGCTGCAGCCCTGCCCAGCCATAGACCTGCTGATCCGGACACGACCCACTGGCTTCCTGGCTTCACCGCAGACTTGCCTCGTCACCATGGCCTTGCTGGATGATCTGCGCTCTTGGTAAACCCAGCCACTGAGCCTGCCCTGCTCGCAGGCTGACAGATCTTACTGCGCTCAGCTCCCTGGCCCTCATGGAGCCCAGCTCGGGTCTCCCTGGCTCTCCAGGGATGGTCTGCCTTTCTCTTCCTTACCCTTCCCTTCCTTTCCCTTCCCACCACCAGCTCAGCAGCACCGCGCTGGCCTGCGGCTCTCGGGGAGCCCCTGCACCCCAGGAGCTGGCACCTGCCCCGAGCGGCTCGGAGCCCCCGCACACACAAAGCAAGAGGACGCACCAAAAGCGTGAGTAGGACTCAAAAACCTGGGGTGTTTAATGTGGTCAGAAGCTGTACAGAGGGCGGGGGGCAGCATGCTGCCCTGGGCCCTGCTTTGCTATTGCATCTATAAAAGTACAAAGCCTGGCCAGCAGATAATCTAACTGAAGAGGAAGCAGCTGAGGCCAAAGGCCCTGCACCCAGGGCTGCCGGTGGGGAGCCAGCCCCTCCTCGGCAGCGTTGGCACCGAGCAGAGGCTGCGGCGGGGGAATTGTGACAGGGACTTGCAGAGGGGAACTAATGTAATCTGCCCCCTTGCTAGAGCACCTGGGGGAAGTGTCAGCCCAGAGGGTACCCAGTGCCGTGCTTCAACATCCGCGCTGTTGGGACCCAGCTCCGTGGAAGGGAAGAGGGGCCCTTAGTGGTTTTATTGCCTTTCCTGCTGGATGCTGAGCACCCTCTGCCCTTTTCCAGGAGAAGGAGCCTGTAGAGCATGACACAGTGCAAGCGGGGCAAGGGAGGAATACGGTGCACGTGTCTGTGCTGCCTTGCACCAGGGCACCGGCCGTCAAACGCGTTCAGCTGGTGCCACCTCACAGCCAGTGCCATGAATGCCTGTGCCCCAGCAAACCCAGCTCTGAAGCAGGCACAGGTGGGGATGAGCTCCCTGCCCACCCCAGGTGAGTGGCTGCTTCCCAGGTCACAAATGCAGCAGAGGCTGGAAATGGCTCCGACTCCTCCAGGTGCATCCAATCGGCCTCACGGAGCTGGGGTGGAGGTATTCACACACACGTGGCTGCTGGGGGTAGTGGCATGTAGAAGGGCTAACAGCTCAATGGTGGGTGGCATGCCTGGGGTGAGGGGGTCGCAGGGTCTCCTGGGACACCCGCCCCAGGGGAGGGGGAGCAGGGTGGAGCAGGTGCTCAGGGGTCCCCGCTGTACTTGATGAGGTGGCCGCTGAAGGTGATGTAAGTGTCGTACTCATCGCTGAAGACGGCGTTCTCGCGCTCGCCCTTGTAGAGCCTCACCCAGACCTCATCCTGTTCCTGCAGCTCCAGCATGACGCTCTGGCTCTGCATGATGCTGCGGTCGCTCACCTGGGCGTAGAGGATCACCACCTCTGCCCCATTGTGCATGATGTGCAGGTACGTCTCCTTCTGGTTCCAGGTGTGCACGTTGAGGCTGAAGTAGTAGATCCCGGGGACGTAGCAGTAAAACTTGCCCGTGAACATGTTGAAGTGGTCGTAGAGGTTGACAAACTCCGTGTCGAAGATGAGGGTCTGGTAGTAGTCATTGCTGTGCAGGGGTTTCTTGCGGCCCACCGAGAAGGCGGCGTAGTGGCTCTTGCAGCGCTCCCCCGGGGCACCCACGCTGCCCTTCTGTCCCTTGGGCCCTGTGTGGCCCCTGCTGCCGGCCACCCCTGTCTTGCCAAACTTGCCCTGCATGCCTCGCTCGCCGCGGTCCCCCTTCTCACCTGGGCGAAGCAGGAGGGACAGTTGTGCTGTCAGAGGTTGGCGCCATCTCCAAACCCAGCGCCCTGGAAGCCCCTTTGCCTGACTGGAGGGGATGGAGACAGCAGGGACCCCCCACCCCAGCCCTCGGATGCTGCCTCCAAAGCTGCTGCCCAGAGGCCACTGA